ATCTCCGCTGTCGACTTTGTCGAGCGGAGCTTAAATCATATGAGTGATTGTCCGTCGTCGTCCGTGTCAATGTTGTACTTTTTCGACTTCTTCTTGAAAACTACAAGCCTGAATGCTTTGATACTTGGTGTATATGTACCTTGGGTAGACCTCTCTCAGATTTGTTCATTTCATGATCATATCTTCAATTCTCTAATTTTGGTGAATATTTTTGTCATTTTTGGTAAAAAGTGATATTTTTGACTTCTTGTTAAGAACATACTGTTAAGTACAGTAGTGATAAACAGTTTAAAAAAAGTAACATTAAATGAGACACACAATGGTCAAGCTTTTAAAACTTATAGTGATAACAAATAATTTAGATCAGTAGAAATATTTTGCATGTTTGACTTTTTGTTTGTGGTGCTAATTGTAACCAGTCTACCAGATTGGTCCTTGGTAAAATTTCAATTGTTTTCTCATTACAGAAACAAAGGAATGCAGAGGATTTGGTTACATCAGTTACGCCTTGAGGTAAGTGTAAATATGATAAAAACTACATCAACCCTGAAAAACTTTTCTGTGATGATATTTGCTCTATTAGATGAGTTTTACTGACCTAATAAACAATTTATTGAGGTGTACATAATATTCAATTGATGATGCTCTATGAACCGGTACAGTAAAATACTTTATTTTAGCTGGAATTAATTTTCGTTGAAAAACACTTTTTGGGTGTTTTGTATGGAATTTATTTTCACTGATTTTTGACGAGTTAAATGTCAAATATAGAAAAAAAGATATATTCGATGGATTTTATTTTCATTAAATCATTCCTTCAGCTAAAATTAATTCCAAGCAAAAATAAAGTATTCTACAGTAACAGTAAGTTGTGTTCATCTCAAATCATTTGTCATAGTGTCAAAGCATTTATTATACTGTATTTATCCGGGTATAAGCCCAGGGTCCTGAACATGGAAAATTGCCAAAAAGAAGGGGTGGGCTTTTGCCAGGAGATCCCCGGCAAAAAAAACACGAAAATTGACAACACGCAGCTCGAAATGCGGCAGGGAATAGAACGGCAAAATGAAAACATGCAACGGAAATCAAATAAATGAACAATATGCAACACTAGAAGTAAAACAAAAATAATGTATTGCTTATAATGTGACAAATAAACCAGAAATAATAAAAATCGACAGTGAGGAATCATTTGAATTAGTATTTTCCCGCCGACAAACACGCCCAATACGCGTGAACTCAAAATGAATTAAAATGTCAGGGGTTAAACTGCGTAAAATGATTTCCGGTTTCGACAAATTACGAATCAACCGTCATACAAGATCAATAATAATTTACAAATTTACACGGTAAAAATTATAAAAATTCATAGCTGTTTGAAAAAAACTTCTCAGATCTTTATTTGTACGTTCATTGCCATCTTCGTCAAACTCAAAACCCTCAAATATCCAAATCGGCGTCACTGTAGTCGTCGAACAAAATCCCTGCAACTTGTTCGTCGACATCGTCCCACACAATTTGAACTTAGCACTTTTAATTCACGGATTTTGCAGTCTGTCAGCTTGGCACTTTTCATTCATGTAATCATAATAAAGAGACAAGAAAAATGGGGTTGCTCTGCAGCGATGGCGCACGATGCTTTTGTTTGCAGTCTAGCAATCATCTTTGACCTTTATGCATCTGCTTTACTGATTGGCTAAGAATGACATCACTACTAGTATTTCATCATAAAGGTCAAATCGTGACATTGCTTTCAAATCAGACTCGACGCTAATTAATCACGGTGAAAGTTATCATTCAGCAAGTTCCGGCGGTTGGAATGTCTCACTATATGGATATCGCGGTGGACTTGAAATAGGAAGTGTTTTTTTTTATCCAACGACAGAAGAATAGTTTTCATGACAGAAATGCAATAGCGGTGATAAAAGATGGTAAAAAAGTTGGCAGTCTTCGGCGTGACATTGCAAAATTGCTGGCCCCAGTTATGGATTCGCAAGCTGCTACAAAATGTTTATAAAGCCAAAATAACGTGATTTCAACCATTCTCCCATGTACGGGTTGCTACATATTACAACATTGTTTTCATTGTCGACGACGCTAAAGCCAAACGAGTGCGACACTTGCTTAGCGGTTCTTCTTATACGATTTGTTTGAATCGTTTCTAAGGAAGCACAAACCATGGACGTACAACCAAACGGCCGGCCCTTTTTAGGGCCACGATATATTTCAAAAAGAGAACTACCGTTTCTGCTTTAATATTTATTTTTATAGACTTGCTGACTGTTATGATTCTGAAAAAAATCAGCGGTGAACGCGCTGCCCTGAAGGCAGAAGGCTGTCACAGCTATTTTGCGTTCACCCCTTGTTTTACGCAATTAACAATTTTTATAAGTATCGCGACAGACTTCAAGAATGTCAACTGTTAATACAACCACAGTCAACGAATAGAAATACATTTTTTTGTTTTTTTGTTTTGTGTAGAAATAGACCCCCTGGGCGTGTGCCCGGATATGACCTCAACTTCTTTATTGTGTCAAAAGTGGGGGGTGGGAGTTTGTCCAGGCATGGGCTCTTACCCGGATAAGTACGGTGCTAGGAATTGAATGAGTGGCTTACCTCTTTCAGTGAGTGTAATAATAGATATTGTCTCTTTGGCTGTGTTTCTATTTCATTCAACACAAAGGGTAAATACAGAGACAAATTTCCAACACTAACATTACCTGAATAAAAGAAACATTATAAATACATTATTATTGAAGAAGTCGTGAAGTTTTGTCATGATCAAATATATTTTTGTAAAAATTCAGATTTCTGTTATAAGAGAAGTTGCATAAGATAGCTCTCAAATTAATCATGTCAATGGTCCTGCATGGTAATCACGCACTTACAACACTAGCAACATGGGGAATTTAATGTATTCATAGAGCTAGATGTAATACTGGTAGCAAACTTTCTTGTGGTCCGTGGATTCTTTTTTGCAA